TCCGGCGGGGCAGCTCCGGTCTGTGCCCGAGGCCTTGGCGCCGGGGGCGGGAGGCCAGACGTGCGTCATCTCTGCCAAGAAATCCACAGTTGGCGAGGACTTGGAGATTGTGGAGGGGCTCGGGGTGCCTGCCGTCGTGTCGCGCTCTGTCCACTCCATGGCCCACTTCGTGTCCCCAACCAGCAGGTAGTACTCGTTTTGGCCCTGCTGCTGTCCTTTGAGCCGCTCTTGCAGGTAGTACCTAGCATGTTATAACACACACTGACATAACATATCATGTCATGACGCAGCATCGCAGAGCATACCATAACACGACAGCAGAGCATGGCGAGACATACTAGCAGAGCAGACTGTACTATACAGAGCTGAGCCGTCAACAAAGAGAACATGCAGAACATGCCAGAGCGCAGGACATGGCATAACATCAGATGACATAACGCATTATAAGTGCCCATATCCGAGCATAGCATTACATACCTTGACATACCGTATCATATCATGACACCGACTTACATAACATATCATAACACGATAGCAGAGCATAGCGACGACGGACACGACATAACACAGCATGACACAGCAGCACATGACATACCAGAGAACACGAACATGACAGACCTTGACAGAGGATCACATAGCAACGTCTTGACAAACTAGAGGGTATGATAACATCACATAACATACCAGAGCAGAACATGAACTAACAGAAAACGACATAACACAACATCGCATACCATAACCGAGTTTAACATTTCACACCTTGACATGCCGTGTCATACCATGGCACAGCATCATAGAGAATATCATACCACCACCACAACAGAGCATATCGGCACATACTGGTAGAGCAGGTTAAACTGTTTTTTACAGGGCCGAGCCGTCAACAAACAGAGCATCACATAACACACCAGAGCAGGACCTGATAGAACAGACGACGACATAACATAACATATCATAGCATAATATAACCGAACATACCATACCACTCCATGCTGATAATAGTAAGCCGAGCTGTCAACAACATCGCTGACCAAACTATACTATATTGGGTCGAGCTGTCAGCAGCATCACGGATCCGAGCATATTAGAACATAGCTTGACAAGCGTAGCATGAGATAACGTAGTGCCGCAGAGCAGACCATTCCATAGCATCTCACATCAAATGGTGACATATGTGTGCATAACATAACATACGCAATCAGGAAATAAACGTATAATTGTTGAGGAACATTAGAACCTACGACGAGTCTAACGTCACAGGCGTCACGACGTCACGCCGTTCCGCCGAACACACAACATGACATACTAAGGCATGACATGAAATAACGTGACTACTTGGAACACGGTTGACTCGTTTCTTAATCCAGAAACGGCAGTTGTGCAGTGGCGGATATGAGTACCACGACAGAACAGGACAGCAACACATATGAACAGAGAAGACCATACGAGACTATCTTGAGCTGAGCCGTCAACAGCATCCCGGAGCATAACATAATGTACCATAATTCAACACAACGTATCATGTCCTAACGTGGTGTTGCAGAGCAGGATATACCATAACATACCAACGCATATTGTGGGAGAGGCGAACATGACAGAGCATACTTTAACGGAAGAGATAGCGACAGTGCATAATAATGCTATAACACAACGTACGGTACGTACATGTTGGCCAGTTTGGCGACAGGAAGCAGCAGTCAGAGCAATGAGCGATTCGACGATGTATCTAAAGTGACAAGCGTCACGACGTCACGCTGGCCCGTCGATATCAGGACATCACAGACCACAGTATCACATATCGCATTGTGGCAGAATCCTACCGCACTCACTCCACACTTTAGCACATCATCGCGTATGCAGTAGCCATCATTCCACGGCGTGTGCCCAGGCGTCACGACGTCACGGCGCCCGTCTCGAACACAGCAGGACTTAATAGAGCATCACATGGTATAGTGTTACTACATGGAACATGGTGGAAGTGACAGGCGTCGAGACGTCACGCTGGCCCGTCGAGATCGCAACATCACAGAACACAGTGTCACATTCTATATTGGGGAAGGATCCAACCAAACACATTATAGCACAATGTCGCCTATACAGTAGCCATCACTCCACGGCGTCGCCCAGGCGTCACGACGTCGCGCTGGTCCGTCGAGGACATAACCGGACATAACATAATATAACATGATAGACCGTTGCCACATTGAGCATTGTCGAACACTTTTGAATACAGCAGCGGCAGTAGTGCAGAGGAGCATCGCGACAGAACAGGACATGACAAAGCACAGTAATACATGATGCCATATTATTATATACTGAGCTGAGCCGTCAACAACACCACGGAATAATTAGCATATAGTAACATACCCTGACAGATAATGCCATGTCCCAGCATGGTGCCACAGAGCAGAGCGATTCGATGACGTATCTAACGTGACAGGCGTCACAACGTCACGCTGGCCCGTCGAGATCATAACATCACACAACACAGTATCACAGATTACAGTCCGGCGGATTCCAATCAAACGCGATGTAGCGCAACATCACATACACAGTAGCCACCTTTCCACGGCCTCGCCCAGGCGTTACGACGTCACGCCGGCCCGTCGAGGTCAGAACATAACAGAGCACAGTATCACATACTACATTGGGGCAGAATCCAACAAAACACAGTACAGCACAATAGCACGCATACAATAGCCACCGCTGCACGGCGCCGCCCCGTCGTCAGGCTCACCACAGGGACCAACAGGTGCAGCAATGACCGATTCGATGACGCGTCGAACGCGACAGGCGTCCCGAAGTCACGCCGTCTCCGTTTTCCGCCCCGCCTCCTCATCTTTGTCCTTGCCTCCTCCTTCCCCTCCCTTTTTCCCACCCGACAGGTTGGGGTTGTTAGATTTCAAGAAAAGGCCCCCCGGCCAACGCCACCCTGCATACCGCGGCCGCCAGACCCCAAGTTGTCCCCATGGTCCCGGGTATCCCGCCCCAGCCAACCCCACCCTGCATACCGCGGCCGCCAGACCCCAAGTTGTTCCGATGATCCCCGGGAGTCCCGCCTCGCGCCCTGCCAACCCCACCCTGCATAACGTGGCTGCCAGACTCCAAGTTGTCCCCATGCTCTCCGAGAGTCCCGGGTGTCCTACCTCGCGCCCTCGACGAAAACGACAGAACACAACGTGACAGAACGGAGCAGAGCATAACAACAGAACAGTACAGAACGGAGCATATCAATATTTTGACACAGCAGCACATGACAGAACGTCACATAACATTCCAGAGCAGAACATAACATAGCAGTAGAAAACACATCACGACATAACAAAACATAGCCGAGCATACCATAGCATACCTTGACAGGGCATATCATATCATGACACAGCATCACGTAACATATCATATTACGACAGCAGAGCATAGTGCAGACGAACTCGACAGAACACAGCATGCCACAACATAACATGACATAACAGAACACGATCATGACAGACCCTGGCAGAACAGAACATAGCAGTGTCATGACAACACAGAGCATAACAGAGCATCACATAACAGAAGACGACAGAACACAACATAACAGAACAGAGCCGAGCATACCACACCACAGCTTGACATAACATATCAGATCATGGCACAGCATCGCATACTATATCATAATACGACAGCAGAGCGCAGCGACGACGAACACGACAGAACACAACATGACACAACATAACATGACATAACATAACACGATCATGCCATACCATGACATAACATAACACAGCAAACTCATGGCAACGTAACGTAACATATCATCACATATCATACAGCAGCAGAGCATACCATCCCACGGCAGACCACAACATAACATATCATACTTGAGCACATCACATAACACCTTGACTGACCATATCGTATCATGACAACATCATCGAACCTATTATAGCACGAAGCCGAAGCACAGCGAGGCATACTAGCAGAGCATATCACAGTAAAGTATACAGAGCCTGGTCGTCGACAAACATAACATCACAACACATACCTGAGCAGAACAGCCTCACCGAACATACCAGATAATGACACAGCATCACTGAGCATACCAAAACACGACAGCCGAGCATAGCGACGACGAACACGACATAGCACAACATAACATGACGGACCAGAACACGAACGTGACAGAACATGATAAACCATACCATAGCAACGTCATGGCAAAACAGGGCATCACATACTATCACAGATCATGCCATGGCAGCACATGACAGAACAGAGGACGACAGACGACAACATAACATAACATAACCGAGCATCCCATAACACACCTTGGCTGAACATGCCATACCATGACACAGCATCACAGAACATATCATACCGCGACAACAGATCGTATCGACATATACTAGCAGAGCAGATCACAATATACGATCCAGAGCCGAGCCGTGATCAAACATAACATCATATAACATACCAGGACATAATCTGACATGACAGGAGACGACAGAACGCAACATACCGCATCGAAACCAAGCATACCATAACCTATCATGACATAACGTATCAGCTCATATCATGTCAGCACCACAAGATATTTAATAATACGACAGTCAAGCACATCGGGACATACTAGCATTGCGGAGCATGACATGAACTTACGAGCCGACGTGTAAACAGCGTCACGGAACACATCGTATTTTAACATAATTTGGCGTATCATATCATGTCATAACACAGTGTCATATATCAGATCATACCATACGGCTTCAACTTATATGGTGACGTAGACGAGCACAACACAACATACCCAAGCATACGATAAGTATAAGTGATGAGGAAGCTCATAACAGACGGCGCATCCACAACATTAACGAACGTGACTACATGGAGCACGCTTGAACCGTTCTTTGAATCCAGAAACGGCAGTTGTCGACCAATTCGGCGACCGCGCGCCGTCGGGACCAAACGCGTCAGGTTTCGGTGGGGATCGTCCGAAGCACAATAATTTCATCTTTTTTGAGGAGGGCTGGGATGCAGGCTGCCGCGTCATTGACACTGCGGCGCAGCCGGATGCGGACATCACTGGCCTCTGCTCGCCTGGCTTCAGATTTCACGATAGCAGCGGGGAGTGCGCGCAGTGCCCCAGCACGGGTGGACACAAGCAGGGACTCAGCAGACCAGGCTGAGCGGCTGAATATTTTGGGGGGTCTGTAAAAGACTTGGGCCCGAAGTCGCAAGACATCTACTACCTCTGACGATTTTTGGGCTTAGATGCATTGGCTGACGCCGCACCGCCGACTTCTTGGGGCGGCAGTAAGAGGGAGAAACTGAGTTTGCGGAACGCGCGCGATTTCTGGGGAATCTTGGGGTTTCAGCTTCTTGGGGTTTCGTCGGAGTCGGTTGGCGGATCGCGGCTCTGCCCTTGGGCTTCTCTGGACTCTTTTGGCAGCACTTATGAAGCCTCTTGGGAGCCGTGCTGAGGCCTCTCGGGGCCTCTTTTGGGCCTCCCGGGGCCCTCGTGGGAGCCTCGTGGGGGCCTCTTGGCGCCTTCTCAGGTTTTTTCGTGGCCGAGGGCTCGAAATGTCCATTTGGGTTCCCCCTGTGGGCCTCCTCTTGGGGCCGTCCTGTGTCTCTCCTGAGCCGTTTTGGAGGCTTCTGGGGCCGTCTTGGGGCCCTCTTGGGCCGTCTTGGAGCCCTCTTGGAGGTTTCTTGGGCTATCTTGGGGTGATCTTGAAGGCTTCTTGGGCCGCCGTGGGCCTCGTGAAAGCATACGAAGCGAACGTGCTAGAAATATACGTTTCTCACTGGGGAATGGGACGATTTTTGATTCTGGAGGGCCTCTTTGGACGCTTCTTGGTGGCTTCAGGGGGCGTCTTGGGGGCTTTGAGACCGTCTGGAGGCAATCTTGGGCGTCTTGGAGCGATCTTTCGGCGACTCGTAGCCCTCTTGGACTGGCCGGGGGGCTTTTGGGACCCTCTTGACCTGTTTTGGGGCCCGCTGAGGCTCCAAAGATGCAGCCGGCACCTTTGCCCCACCCCCCCCCCTCTCCAAACCAGCCAGACCGGGCTCCCGGGGGAGGGGTTTGGGGAGGGGGAAGCATCTCACGCGTCGTGACCCCAAGGGGTCTGCGGATTTTTCATCAAACCCCCGTCTGCCGAGCCCCTGTCTGGCCCCCCCCGACCAGCGGCACTTTCTCCTCGTATGACTCGGCGGCGTGCCTGCCCTGTCACATTGGGCGCGTGGCGCCAGAGCCGGGCTCGGCGATCTGCACCGAGTGCGTGCCGGGTACGTTCCAGAACGAGACAGGTCAAGAGGCATGCATGAATTGCTCGGCGGGCGGCTTCTCGAAGGGTATCGCCAGCTCCAGCTGCGAAGAGTGCCCCCCTGGGCACTTCGCCGCCGAGGCTGGGCGCAGTGACTGTGACCCTTGCGCAGTGGGCCAGTTCCAGAACCTGTCCGGGTAGAGCGCGTGCGACATGTGCCCGCTGGCGCGGCAGATCACGTCGGAGCGCACGCTGGTGCAGGGCCGCTACCAGTGGGTACCCAAGGAGAAGAGCGACGATGCGTCCCACTGCGGTTGTGGCGCTGGCGACAGGCTCGTCAATGGTGCATGCGAGGACTGCGGCAATGAGGATTTCGATGGCCTCATATGCCTGGGCAAGGACGAGGTGGAGGTGGCGCCCGGCTTCTACGCCGCCGACAGCTCCTTTTCCATCTTCAAGTGCCACTCCGATACCGCCCACTGCGTCGGGGGCAAGCCCGGCAGCACCTGCGCACCAGGACGAGAGGGCATCTCGTGCGCGCTTTGCAAACCTGGCCTGAAGGCGGGTGCCGACGGCGGGTGTGTGCCTTGCGAGGATGAGGGCTCTGGTCAGTCGACCTTCTACTGCCTGTTTTTCGTCATGCTGTTCGCGCCGGTGCCCATGTACGTGGTCGTGGACCGCGGGTGCAAGTCTCGTCCGAGTCACGCCATACTGCTGATGAGCTTGATGTTCAGCCTGACCATCACGCTGGTGCAGCAGCTCGGCGTCGTGAGCCTGCTCGAGGACGTGCGCTGGATGGATCCCATCAGCACGCTGCTGGACGCCGCGCAGCTGCTCATGTTCGACTTGGAGGTGCTCCATGTCAGCTGCATGTTCCGCTTTAGCCCCCTCGGGAGCTTCATCGTGCAGCTGTCCATCCTGGCGCAGTGCGTGGTCGTGCTGCTGATCACGCACGTGCTGCTTTCGCTTTTTTACTATCGCGAGCCGATCCGCCAGCGAAACTCAGCGCTGGTGGCGAGCATCGGTACCATCTTCATGGTCGTTTACATCTCTGTGGTCACTGCCGTGCTTGGCCCTTTCCAGTGCTTGGAGCATCCCAACGGCAAGTGGACCATACGCGGCTTCCCTTCCGTTGTGTGCTGGGAGACCGGCGAGCACATCTCTATGATCGTCGTGGCTACCGTGGCCGTGCAGGTGCCCCTTGCCTTCTTCGCCTTCTGCACGCGTGCGACGGCGATGTACCCGCGCAAGATGCTCGAGGGAAACACGTGGTTCCTGGAGACGTACAACTGGCTCTTCTTTCGCTTCAGACCAGAGGTCCACTGGTACACTCTGGTCAACATGGGCAGGAGCCTGGTCCTGGCGCTGGTGCCCGTCATCCCTCACGCGCCCGCTCAGATCATCTGTATGCAGTTCACGCTGGTGTCCAATATGATGATCGTTGTGGGTATGCAGCCATGGCGCCTGGACTATATCAACAGTATGGACATCTTCTTCACTCTGTCGATCCTATTCGTGCTCATCTGCGCTTCGTTCTACGTCACCTTCGTCTCCACGTCCGTGCTCGCGTGGTTCGCATCCATCTTCATCGTCATTTGCCTGCTCGCTTTCCCGCTTGGACTCGTCGCAGGTGCCGTGTGGTACTTGCGCAGGCGCAGCGGCAGGCGCGACTTCGAGTACTTCCTCTGCCACCACAAGGCCGGCGCTGGAGCCTTCACCCGGCTGCTGAAGCTGCAGCTGAAGAGCGAGCGCTCGGTCACGCGGGAGGTGTTCGTGGACTCTGACAATTTGTCCAGCCTGGACTTGCTACTCGAAATGGTTGCCAACAGCACAGAGACACTGGTCATTGTTGGCTCTGCGGAGATCTTGCTTCGGCCGTGGTGCGTGGGCGAGATCACTACAGCAAAGGCGGCCCGCTTGAACATGTTTAAGATCGCACTGCCCGACTTCGTCAACCCGTCTGACGACTTCATCGACAGGTACGCGGAGATCTTGCAGGACATGAGTGTGCTGACGAAGAACGGCATCAGGCCGGACGACGTGCGGGAGGCGATGAGGCACATGCGGGAGCTCGAGGACATCCCGGTGCAGGCAAAGTTGGAGGACAAAACGTTGGCGGAGGTGGCCAGCAGGGTCACGGTCAAGGCTGGTAGCAGCAGGGCGTCGACTCAAGCGCGCACTAGTTCCAAGGCCACCATGCAATCCGATGTCAAGTGCGCTGTAATAGTGGACTCGTCGAGCTGGGAGGCGGTGTCCGCGGCCATGGTGCTGGTGCGCATTCTAGGGCCGCTGTTCAGCAGCGAGCCCACGCTCAGGCCTGTCATCTTGAACGCGCAGGACGCGCTGCCCGAGTCAACCACCAAGGCTGTGTTCATCTGCACTCCTGGGGCGCTGCTGTCGGAGGCCTGCGTGCCCAAGCTCATCGCGGCCGGAGAGCGGCAGCTCCCGATCTTGCCCATCATCGCGGAGGACGCGTTCCAGTTCCCGTCCAGGCAGTTTGCGCAGGAGAACTGCGAGGTGCTGAAGCGCCTCGCCATGATCGGCAAAAGGCCGGAGCAGAGGCAGCCGAGCAGCGAGGAGGCCACCATGAGGCGCTTGGAGCTCGTCACCAGCTGCTTCAACAAGACGATCGGCTTCCGCTTCCATGTCAAGATGTTGTCCGACAAGATGCTCCGCAGCCAAGCGGAGGAGATCTTTGACCGCCTGGGCCACCTGGGAATTGGCGGTGACGGAGTGTATCGCCGGGGCAGCCGGAGCACCCAGAGCAACGCGAACGAGCCTGAGCAGCCGGAGCAGCCAGAGCATTTTTGACCGCCTGAGCGCATCGGAGCAGCCGGGCCGCAGCGAGCGCGGCAGGGCCAGGACCAAGTGCTCATCTTGAGCCTCGCGCTCGACAGCGGGCGCGCGCGCCCGCGCGCGGCTGACTGAGCTGAGGCGACCCTCAGTCACCCCTTTGTTATGCCCCACTTCGCGACGACGCATCTGGTCCGCCTCCGTCCTTTTGTGCCGGGAAGGCTGGGGGGACAGATGGTGAGGACAAAGCTTCGACCAAAATGAGGACACATATTGTTTCAACATTGCTTGTCCAGGTCAGGTTTGGCAATATTGGGCAATTTCGGAGGGCACCTTGGAGCATCTTGAGCTATCTTGGAGGCCATCTTGTTCAATTTTTCAGCATCCCATCTTGGAGGCCATTGTAGGCCGTCTTCGTTTTGTAGTCTTCTCTATTACAGAAGTTGCGTATTTTTGAAAGCTGGCCGAACTTATTCAAGAGGCTTACCCCATTTCGCCGACCCCCACAAGGAAGGAGAGGCGCATGGAAGTCTCGAGCCGTACCTTGAAATGTTTAGAGTATTTTCGCTTGGGTTCCTCTTGGTGTCACATCGTGCGTGCTCATGCTGTCTTGGGCGCTTCGTGGGCCGCCTTGGGGTCATATTGGAGCGTCTTGGGCCGCCCTTGGAGGTTTTCTGGGTCGTATTGGGGCAATCCTGGGCATCAGAGGCCGACTTACGCTGCTAAGAGACAAGGCGAGTGTGCTGGAGTTGCTTTTACGGGATTGGAGCGATGTGGGAATCTTGTGGCCTTCTTGGGGGTGTCATGGGAGCCACGGGCCGTCTTAGAGACATTTTGGGCCATCCGGAGTCCGTCTTGAGTGCTCTTGAGAGTCATCCGAGATTGTTGGTCTTCTTCAGTCGTCTTGCAATGCGCCTTGGTCATGTTGAAGGCCTCGGAGGCTGAGTTTTGAGGTCCAGCAAGCCCCAGAAGGCGCGTTCACCTCCCCTTGCCGACGCGCGTGGAGATATAGATGCTAAAGTGCACAAGGAGCAGGAAGAGGAACAGGGGAAGGAGGACGAGGAGGCTTCCACCGTAGCTGTTTCACATGAGCACTCATAGGAAAAGATCCCGCCTAGGAGGCCCCCTAAATAATTCACTACGGTCAAGCTGTCGCCAGGGAGGGTCCCCAAAAACTCGCTGAGGACAATGCTCCCGTTTGAGAGGCCACCAAATAAATCGTTGAATGGAAGGTTCCCGTTGGAGAGGTTTCACAACAGCTTACTCAAAAGGATGCTTCCGCCTGAGAGGCCCTGAAACAGCTCGTAGAGGCCCCCGTCTGAGAGGCCCACCCAAAACGGGAAGAGAGACATTCTCTCGCCTCAGAGGGGGCAAACAGACAAACGCGAAGAGCACGAGGAGGGGTAGGAAGCGGAGGAGGAGAAAAGGAGGAGGGTGAGAGGATGAGGATGATGAGATTACGAGGTGAGGGAGGAGGGGGAGAGGAAGCCGGGGGATTCAGAGAGGAGAAACGGTGGAAAATTACGATGAGGCATAAGAAAGAGGCGGCGGATGACGAGCAGGAGCAGGAGGATTGGGAGAATGAGCAGGGGGAGGAGGAGGAGGCGGAGGAGGAGGGGACGGAGGGAAGAACACGAGGGGGAGTAGGGGAGTAAGTGGAATGAGTCTCGACACCCGTGCAGAAAGCAAAGGCGGAAATGAGGTGAGGGATGATCATGAAGAGTAGGTTCTTCTACTTCTTTGCGGCGGTCCGCGTGTAATCTCTACGCGCTTAGCGCCACGGGGGGAGGAAGACGAGGGGGAATCGAGTGGCCAATCCAGTTGGACATTTAGACGCTAGTGCCGGGTGAGGGTTCCAGGGGGGAATGGGGGCGCGCTGACTCTGGAGCAGCGCTGAGGCCCCGTTCGTTGGGCAGCCCTGCCTTCGGGCGGTGGCTGCCCTGTTCGGGGACCCTGCTGCGAAGGACGAGGTCGCGTCGGAGTCGGTGGAAGAGGGTCCAGACTGATCCATGTTTGCGGACTTTGAGGCCACTGGGGCCTTGGCAGGCGAGCGTGGCGATTGCCTCTGAACCACTCAGGGACCCCGGTCGGCATTCCTGCTTCGATCTGCCTGCTCCTTCGCTCTTGCCGAGAGTTGTCGTCTGCGGCCCTGGCTGGCGAGCGTGGTGTGCCAGTTCGGGTCCTTGCCGGTGAGCGTGGCGCGTGCCGCTGACCCATGCAGGGTCCCTACTCCGTAGATTTTCATCGTTGTGCTGGCTTTCTGCACTTGTGTCATGCCGCTGTCGGGGTCTCTCGTGGGTGAGTGCGGGGCGTGCCAGAGGTTCTGGTCAGGCAACCTCGCAACGACTTGCTCGCTCCGCACCATCGGTGGGCATGGCAGTTCGGGCCCTGGCTGGTGAGCGTGGCGCGTGCCACTGACCCAGTCAGGACTTCGAATGCGTCGTCCTGCGTTGATCTGCTTGCCCTCTGCATTTGCTGAATATCGCTGTCGGGGTCGCTCGTTGGTGATCGCGGCGCGTGCCGTTGATCCAACAAGAGGCTCAGGTTTGGCAACCTCGCATCGATCTGCTTGCCTTGTATCATCGGTGCTGGTTCTGCGTCGATGCGATTGCTTTCTGCACATGATTAACATCGCTGTCTGGGTCTCCTCTTGGTGAATGTGGCGCGTGCCACTGACCCAGCAAGAGATTCCTGTTCGGCAACCTCGCATCGACCTGCTTTCCTTGTAGGCCATGGCACTTGGGGCCCTGGCTGGCGAGCGTTGCGCGTGCCACTGATCTAGTCAGGATTTCGATGGCGTCGTCCTGCATCGATCTGCTTGCCCTCTTCATTTGCTTCATATCGCTGTCGGGGTCGCTCGTTGGTGAGCGTGGCACGTGCCACTGACCCAACCAGAGGCCCCAGACCGGCAACCTCGCATCGATCTCCTTGCTTTGCACCATCGGTGGCCATGGCAGGTGGGGCCCTGGCTGGCGAGTCTGGCGCGCGCCACTGAGCTAGCCAGGGTCCCGTACCCAGGGTCTTGCAACGATGTGCTTGCTTCCCAGCGCTAGCTGCGTATCGTTGTCCAGGTCTCTGGTTGGTGAAAGTCATCTTAATCGGCATCATCGGCGTCATCGTCATCATCGGTAACGGCAGCATCATCGGCAGCTTCACCATCATTATCATCATCCTTCGCATGCGCATAAATTTCATCACCGTCATCATTCTCAAGCATGCTCCCCATCATCATTGTAGTTGTCGCCATGGTCACCGTCATCGGTGTCATAATCGTCTCCTCACCACCAACATCACCATCATCATCTTTATCATCATCACCACTTCAACACTACCCTTTCCCGTCATCTCTTTGCAGCTCGCGGTTGAAATCATCATCATTGTCAGCAGTACCATCACTGTTATCGCCATTGACATTATCGTCATCTTCGTGGTTATCTTCATGATCGTAACTTCCAGTGTCTTCGTCAGCAGTATCATCACCATGGTCATCGCGTTCGTCATCGCCAGCACCGCTGGCACCATCATCAACACCGTCGTTCTAGTCATGATCATCATCAACATCATCACCAATGTCATCGTCCGTATCAGTCGCATCAGTGTGAACGTCCGCATCTGAAAGTCCACATCACCATCGTGCCGCCAGTAGCGTCAGGAACATCAAGGCACGCATAACTACCATCGCCATCATCATCGTATGCGTCGTCGTCATTTTCATCGCAAACCTCATCACCATCGACGTTTTTTTCGTCAATCACACGCATCAACATAGCACTTGCATCGTCGCCGTGTTTGCAGTCATCTTGAGCGTGGCGCGCGCTGCTGACCCAGTTAGGGGCCCCGGAACGGCACTCTTGCATCAATGGGCCTGTGTATAGCATCCCAGGCTACTGGCTGGCGAGCGTGGCGCGCGTCGCTGACCCAGCGCAGGAACGGCATCCTTGCAACAATCGACCTGCATGCGCACACGGTTGGTATGGCATCCCAGGCTCCTGGGTGGTGAGCGCGGAGGTCGCCGCTGATCCAGCAAGGATCCTGGGCACGGCCCCCTTGCATTCGACTTGCCCTGCGCGCGCGTTCGGCATGGCATCTCAGGCTCCTGGCTGGTCATCGTGGTGCGCGCCGCTGACCCAGCCAGGAGCCCGGGAACGGCGCTCTTGTATCAATCGATTTGTGTATGGCATCCCTTGCTCTTGGCTGGTGATCGTGGCGCGGGCCGCTGACCCAGCCAGGAGCGCGGGCCGTGCACCTTAGCGTCAGTCGACTTGGACTGCGCGCACGTTCCACATGGCATCCCAGGCTCTCGGTCGATGAGTGCGGCCGTCGCCGCTGACCTAGCCAGGAGCCAGGGAACGGCACCCTTGCATCAATCGACGTGCCCTGCGCACACGTTCGACGCGGCATCTTAGGCTCCTGGCTAGTGAGCGTGGCGCGCGCCGCTGACCCAACCAGGAGCCTGGGAACCAATCGACTTGGTCTGCGCGCGCGTTCGGTATAGTATCCACGGCTCCTGGCTGGGGAGCGTGGCGCGCGCCGCTGATCCATCCAGGAGCCTGGGCGTCTATCGACCTGCCTTGCGCACACGTTCGGTGGCATGGCATCCTAGGCTCCTGACGGTGGCTCCTGGCTGTCGTCGCTGTCGTCATTATCCTCATCGCCATCACCATCGTCCTCGTCCTCACCACCATCGTCCTCATCCTCTTCCTCATCACCAGCGCCTGAAACATTGCCGCTTCGTTCGAGATCGTGAAGAATCAACTCCGGAGGGGACTCCGAACCACCATTTTCTTGGAATCGTTCCCAGAGGGCTCCAAAACGATCCAGTAAAGCCCCCCAAGGCTTTCCGGGAATCCCTAGATCGCCCCAAGGGACCCCCAGCAGGTGCCCAAGAGGCACACAAGAGGTCCCCAAAGAGCGCCCGAAGCTCCCAAGAGGACCCCCGAAGCACCCTAAGGGACTCACAAGAAGCGCCCAAGAGGTGTCCAGAGCCTAGAGGCCCCCAGGAGCGCCCGAGGAGGCTC